GTATACCAATTACTCGACCAACTAAGAGGGAACAAATCGACGGGTTATTAAAAGGATACTCTTGTTCGTTTGACTATTCCATTGACCCCGTTTTGTGACTGGTAGGCTCAATTATCATCCGATTAAGTTCTCCTGGTTCATCCTGTTGTGCACATCCCGGTTGCTTGTCGCTCTGGCATGCATTTTCTGATCGTTGAGTCGTTACATACTAAGAATAATAAAAGACTGATGGGTCACCGTTCCTCTTCGACCCCTTTCAACCAAAAATTTGGCCTTGATAAGGAAAATCTCGATGGCATTTGCGCATTCCTTTCAGTTTCCCGCGTGTTCTTTCCTCTTGCGAGTGTTTCTTCATCCGTGCTCATTTATTATTCGATGACAAATCAGGGAATAGTTTGGTGCGTCCTGTTATTTATAGGGGTTCTTCACCTTTGAAGGCAATCCATACTAGTGGAATGGCGAAACTGCGTTTCTTCTCGGTGAAAGAAAAATCGCCCGAACGGATTCCTTGAAGTGTTCAATCTATTATTCTCTTTCCTTTTTTCTTAACCTCATTCTGTGATCTGCACAATTGTGTCCTATCCTTGTCTGATCATTGTTGCTTCCTCCGCTTTACGTTACTCGGACAGGGCTTGCACCAATCAGATGCAACAACACACGGGCCACCTGGGTGTATTCTGGTATGTTTGCCTTCCCGCTCCAATTTGGAGNAACGAACCGATTTGGCGGGCAAACACTACTGTGATGAGGCGTGCCAACATGTGGACTGCGGCATTTGTACCACTGTCTATCACAGATCGTAGTGATTATAAGGTAAACGCCACTGACTTGTCCTAGCGTCCACTATGATGATTTGTGCGTGCTCCACACTTTCCTTCCGTTGTTTCCTCTTTCATTCACTCTTACCTACTTCTGAATTTTTCCCGATCCGTGTACGAGAGAGATTCGGCTATCAGTTCCGTACTTGTTATTAGTATTTCTATCCCTTACACACGCACAGATCATGTGAACAAATTCGACGTGAGCAAACAGGCGACTTGGGCATGTTTTGGTAGGTCGATTGTCTCTCCTATCCGTTGATCAGACCGTGTTTAGTTCCAACGTGCCGATTTGGACGGTTTCGAACCCTGTTAACGCTAAGCAACAATCGGCCTGGAGTTCCGCGTTTGTGGATTTGACTAAGTCTGTATCAGATCAGCGTGACTTCAAGGTGATTTGTTCCCCCACATGTTCTTCACCTTGTTCATCTCTTTGTATGCGGTCAATCCTGAGACAAGATTAAACACTGGTTGTCTTCAACTTAATATATGTTTTCTTTTCAAGTATTCCCCTTCACGACTAATTTATTGATATTAATAAGACCTAAGAATTGCCGATTCCACTACATTTGGAGCTTCTTTTTTTTCCTCCGAAATAAATACATCGATGAATAAACTTTCGATTGTAAAATCGCCTTGATAAAGGTTACCCACGGTAACCGCTTATTTTCACTTGTACCGACATCTCTGTGTTTTCGAAATTACAACTTTTATGAAAACTTTATAGTCCTTTGAGAAAATCAAATGATACCCTACACATTAAACTAAAATGATACATGTCTCAGAACTTAGTGACTTGATCCAATTTTCCGTTTTATTATCATTATCACATTTCATACTTGTCTGTGTCCAGACTCTTACATCCTGAAGAACTTATCGCTATACAAGAGCCATTTGAGAGTATTTTAATTTTGGCATAGATGCATAGACGGGGAGAATAGCTCTCCGCGTTCGTAGATCATTATTTTTTGAAGGTTATTCGCTTTTATATAAAGAGATGTTTGATGTTTCTAACTACGCGGCCAACACTGCCATTTACTACTTGAGATTCTATTTCTTGATGGTGATTAAGTTCCATATTGGTCGTTTCGAGGTCTTGCGATTGCAACTGAGATCTGTTGTTTGCAGGTTTGTGTTGAATAGGTAAATATACTGCCCGTTCGCCGTTTTATTAGGTCTCCTATCTCCCGATTGTGCAGTAACTTGGTTAAGTCGCGGTTGATTAATGTTATCAGTGGTTAGTCACCTCTCACAAAACTGGCGGAACCGTTTGTCGCTTCATATGTCATCCTAAAAATCCATGTTTTCGCTGCTCGAACCAATCGCAAAGTGAATAGTCCATTTTTCCTGCTAGTAGAGAGGTCACCAAACTGATTGTCTCATAAACTGACTTTTGGTGAGAGTTCAGGTCCCTTTCAGCAATGAACTGGCTCTCCAGGTCTTAGAGTTACATTGAATGTATGCACCACGTCGAACGTCAATTTCATGGTTTAACCCAAACTTGTAGGTGATAGAAAAATAGTCATAGACAGCAGGAAAAATATCGATCTGATTGGTTGTCCATTTCAGTATCGGATGACTTTGTAGAAAGTCAAAATTTGCTCCAAGCACCCAATGCCATGTGAGCACTATTGTGACAAATGCTTCTTTTCTTTCAGTGTCTATCTACAGGAACGCATAAATCTGCAAAATCGTTTCAGATGAAACCATTGCCCGTTGTATTCGCTTTATCCTCATAAAAAGCCTCAGAGCACATTGTGCATGATGTAATATTTCCCACATTGAATGAAAATCACCAGTCAGTAGCAAAGCGATGTGAGTCATCTTGTCTCCTAATCTCCTGCGCCTTCAATATGACGTAACTTTGTTCGATCGAATAGATCAGTGGATATCTGTGGCGCACTCCGATCACCTTTGGCTATTCCTTCTCTTTCTTCCCAACTATATCTTTGTATAGTCCGATTCTTTTTCATTTCTACTTTGACTCACCAGTCGTAAATCAAACTTCGACTTGTTAGCCGTCCACGGTGTTTAAACCCCCCCCCCCCTCACCTCCCCTCCCCTATTTTCAACAGAGATTGCCAACGTACTCGCGAACAAGAAACTGGTAGTGTTGGAACTTATTGGTAGGCAATTTTTGTCTGGTTTTTGTTCATTCGATCACGCTATCAGTTCCAGCCAACCACTTTGGGAAAGTACTCCCCTAGACGGTGATAATTCGGCAACTAGATGGCATGAGGTTTTGATACCACTCGTTCAACAACGGACTTCTGCGATGGATTACAAGGTGCGCAAATGTTCCAGTTTTTTAATGATAACAAAGCAGAGTGTTGTTCTCATCACATTATCTTATCTCTTTTTCCTTGATTTCACCTAGTTTAGTTTTTTTCCTTTGGTCTCAAAAACGTCTACTTTTCGGCAAATGCTTCTAAACAGTTGCCGTGTTTGTCATCGTCTAGGTGCTTTTTGAAGACAGATTTGGGTAATTTCTTTGCCGATTTTACTGCCAGTTTCAGTTTCATGGCTTCAGAATTTACACTGCAGTGCAAAACATTTCCCTTTTAGCCTCTATTTTCTTTCTGTGCACTTTCGGGCCAATCATTTTTCATTGCAGTGGATTAATAATTTAATGGTTTTTGAACCCTTCATGAGTTCTCTCCAATTGAAAGAGTGACATCACATGAAATCTACATAACTTAGTGGGAGGTTCACCAGCAACGTATTTGGGTAGACACCTACATGGCGTTTCAGTCAAATGTTGGTGGCTGCGGGATGATCTGAAGTCACTAACGGTCGCTGTGTGTGTGTGTGTGTTACCCTGTGGTCAGTTTGAAAAATGTGCGGTTTTGGGTTCCAATATCAATCTTTGCCTATATTTGACAACCTTTAGCAGTGTTTCTTATTAATATACTAGAGCTGGTTTCGTATTTTATCCGTTGAACGACATACAGGCAATCTAGACTCTATTCCTCAACCACGAGAAGAACGTGGCCTCCTTCGCCAAGTGCTATCAATGCAAGGAAAATAGCAACACTGTTTTTCACATGCATCTACTGAGTTAATTCTGAAATCGATTCAGACGCATTTAGTCTGTTTCAATCTCACTTTCACTCATTTGCGACATTTTATCATCGAAAGTCAGAAGTGACATTTCCATTATTGGTGATTGAACTGATTTAAAATGCGCTGCTTGTACCACCCGAATGTTGTTTTTGTTGTTCTATCACTTGTTTTCAGATTATTATTGAAGTATAATGAGTTTACTGGTCGATTTATGGTGACGCTAATGTGAAGAGTATGTGAATCACACGTATGATTACGGTAGTTAAATATCATACATGAATCCCGTGGTTTCAAACGTAAACGCGAGCAGACACACGCACATGCATATGTTCGCCCCGTAACTTTTATGTCAAAATAAGGAATTCCAAAAATGACTCGTGTGAAACACACGAGCATAAAACCAGTTTCATTCGTTTATTTTCACATGCACAACCATTTGATGGTCTCATCACCCTCCTCGTCGCACATTGTGCGCTTAATTTTAAAATACGTTTTCTATTCTGCCACTTGTCGAAAAGTGTCTCCTATGTCAGAAATTCGTTCCACCCCACCCCTGGCCCACAATTTATCTGCGTGAATTCACAAGTTCTTACGTACGTCAGCGAACGTTCAAACATCTACCCGATTCATTGTGTCTTGTTTGTAATAGCGCATTCATGTATCAGTGTGTGAGAGTTAATCATCGACTGTTTGTGAATTTGCGTGTGATGTGACGCCGTTTTCTTTCGTTTGTCCTCTTGGGGGGTTGTTCTTTACCGTTCAGCTGGTATTTGTATTGTGTGCGTGCGTGATTCTCTTCTCGTCACGTCAAATATTTCTCTTTGGGGTTTGCCATTTACCCTTCGGAGCCCGCCGTGCACATTCTCGTCAAAAAAGCTTTTTTGTGCGTTCCTGTACGAGAATAAGAATTGCCGTGGATCAAGCCTCTGAGGTCTCTTGTTCATCCTTTCCCGTTTGGTCTCTGTCCTCATGAGTGCGACTATCCAGTTCACACAGATCCTATTTCTAAGGTTCCCTTTTTTCTTGGATCTTCTAGGATCTTGGGGCCACTGAGTCATACAGTTAGGTGATTACCAAATGGTTTACTCAGTTACTGCGAGGGCTTTCGGCTGATGAACCACGGTTCGTGCGCTCATCACTGACCTATCTTTGTGATATCTGTTACTCTTTTGTTTCCTTCTTCATCGCTCTTATAGTTTTATTTGGTTGTAGTCTGTCATCTCCCACTAACGGTCTTTTATAAAGTTCTCTTTTCGTTCTCCCTTCCGCCTGCTTACTTCCTTGGTTGAAGATCGTGCGAATTGGGTACTCATCATCGTACCGGGGGATTGGCTACCATTTGGTATGCATTTCTCTGTTCCCTATTTTCTTTTTATTACGAACAGCGTACATTACCTTAGATTGGTTAGACTAGTTTGCTTCTATGCTGAATCTAAATTGTTTGAACTTGTTTCCTTAGCAATCCCATTTGACGAGCGTAACGGTGACTTCATGTAGTGTAGCTAATCTCATGCGCATTTTCGCGTTCACCAGGGACGTTACAATTCATTAGGTGATTGTAGTTATTGGCATAACACTAGGTAAGGATCGAAAATCGATGTAAATCCAATTAGCTTTTTCAGTATTTCGAAGTCGTAAATTTTCACTTCAATAATAACCTGGGAAACCGGTTCAAACACGGTTTTCCGGGGTACATTTCACTAGCGATTTTTGTTGAACATTCTCTTGATGTTCGTTTTGAACAGTTCCCCATTCCATCTGTTCACTACTCATACACACTGCTTACTAACTGAATCACAGTGCCAACGATCCAATTTGGTCTTCCGCCTTGGGAACAAAAACAGACGACAATTGGCAAACGGTACTTGTCGACTTGTTACCGGATAAATCCGGGCCGGACAACAGAGACTATAAGGTAAAAGTGATCACCCCCTTGTCCTCTTTGCCACTTTTGGTTCAAGTATACGCGGCCATCACTCGCTTTCGCAACATGAGGTGTGTGTGTGCGATCTAGACTTGTGATCGATCTATCACTTTGGGATAACACGTATTACTTATTAGCCCGATTTCTTTAATGCTCTCTCTCTCTCTGCTCCGTCTCCGGATTTTTTAATCCGAAGTGCTTATCCTGCAACAGTTACTTCGCTGTTACCGACAAATTTTGTGAGCGGTACCACCACACGTCATTCGAGGCTTTCCATCAAATCTTATTTCCACTTTGCTATTCATTCGCTTTTTACTTCTATTTCTTTATTGTCATGAGTTCTACTGCTATCACAGTTTTTATTCCCCAAACTTCCATCGCTCACATTTTGTACAGTGCTTGTGAACGTACGAAACATTACATCACGGGTGATGATGCTGTGATTTGGTAGGTTTTGTGCGATATCTCATCAGTGAGATTATTCTAGTTCGAGCCCGACAATTTGGCGTTCAAACGGCTCATCAGGAACCGCGTTTTGGCAGAATACGTTTGTGGAACTGTCTTCTACAAGTTTTGACTATAAGGTGCGCTCTTCCTTAATGCTTATAATCATATCCGTTTTTCAATCCCAACCACCAGCCTTTGAATTTTTTCAAGTGTGCCGCTCATATGAAGCGAACTAATTGGTCTTTGCCGTACAGCTTACTTTTATGTGACTGGTTTTAACAGTCACCCAAGTTTATGTTGCAGACCTTTTTTAGATCGTGACAGAACAATTCTGTATGAGTGCGTTTCCTTGGCTCTACGGTTGGTGCTACACGCTAGCCCTGTACATCATGTGGGGTGCCAAATATTTTCTTTTTTTCATTACCCATGAGTAACATTTTCAATTGAGCCCAAGATGAAGACTTGCCAAATCTTATTTGAGTTACCTAATTTGTGATCTTTTTGACTGATTCTGGCGTCATGATGAAAATGTTTGTATTATCTTTACTACCCTGATAGAATACATGCGGAGTAATTCGGATCTATGGCCTTCATTTAGACAGCCTCATTGAGGTCGATTGTTCGCAATCGACCGAGTAACAAGAAGCTATTGAGAATTTTCTTCGTAGTCATAATCAAAGCTAGTGTGTTTGGTCATGGGAGTTATTTTCAAGCTCACGTTTCTTTAACCTCATTAGTTATTGCCGCTGTTGCATTCTTTCGTGGTCAAAATAATATGTTATTCGATTCTAGGCATGTGGGGTAACCTTGTTCCGCTGTTTTATATGTGATTTCTCTAATGTGAAGATGTGCGGCATACCATCTTGAAAATAGAATACTCCAACCTGCTACCCGCTTTGTAATATTTCATCTTCCGACCACGATGCTGCCGCCCTTTGCTTTGTGTCGTCCTTAATTAAGGTTAGTCTCCCGCCAAGCTTGATAATTCCTTATCACAAATGAATCACGCTGCCGCTGTTAGTTGGCTCAATACCATGGGTTTTTACAGCATCTCGTTTTGTTGTCTGTCGTAATTGACTTGTTTACTTATCGAATTTAAGAGAGAATGAAGACAGTGGTCCTAATTTTCTGCGTTTACTTCCTTCGCCTCCATATTTCCTGTTTTGGGAAGTCACAGATATTTGGTCTTCCAATTCTCTTGTTCTTTGAGTTAACTTTAATTTCGGCCTCTGATTTCTTCTTGCACTTAATTTAGATCCACGCTCAACCTAACAGGGAATCTGAATGCACGTTTCACACTCGATCTCTCGGTGTACTTTCCTATCGTTTCCTATCTTTTCTTTTTCACTTTTTCTTAAATCTCCTCCAACTAGCCATCATTTACTGACTTTCCGACTTGTAACTCATTGTTTTTGTTATGTTCCAGGTCATGTCGACCTGTTTTGGATCCTCAAACAAACAGGCCCTCAGTGCTTTGGTATGTATCAGCTCCTCTTATCCATCTCTCTGTTGCTGCCCCTCGCTATCCGTAGTCGATAGCGCGCGCGCGCGCACGATCTTTACACTTAAACCGCAATCGGTTTATGTCGTCCGTCTGTTTGTCTTTCAGCGCCAACGAGCCGTTATGGCACAGTGAACGATTAGATTCACCGATGCAAAATCTCGGCACAACACCCTGGCAACTTGCACAAATCGAATTGAATTCAACTACTGTGTCCGATTACAAGGTGTGTGCCCCCCGTTGGCTTTCTTCGACTGTGTCTTGTTACCCACTGTTCAATCACAATCTTTTCGGGGTATTGTGTCCTAGCCGAAGTTGAGAAAGCGGTGCGACTTTCTTTCTCATATAATGGTCACGTGGTTAGTTATAACGGTAGTTTTCCAGCGTCCGGTCCATCTGACTTTTCTTATTAGAAAAAAGGGTTTTTTCTTCTCCTGTACCTTTCCGCTTATTTGGAGGAATAGGTAAAAATCCCATGAGCGAACTATGCGACGTCCGTCGATTTAGTACCGATAAAGTTTTGATTTCTTCACTATAGGTTGCCGCAATTCTTCTCTCCACTTTTAATTCTTCTGAGTCTGGTTTGTCATGTAGGAAACTCTAGGTAACGTATGCATCCTTCTCTCATCCTGGATGATTGTTATCGTTTCTCCCACCCCAAGAGGTGATCAGAAACGGAAATAGTTAAACATTTTGTTCTTCCTGTCCCACGTAATCATGTGTGACCTTTTGTGGTTTGAAAAAACCAACGAGACAACGCTAGGAGGCTAATGAAAACTCTATGCTTTCGCGGTCTATACAAAATGCGGGATTATTGAAACCGTTTTCTCATCCATTCACACCCTGATACTTCAACTGTGGACGGAAACGGGGGTTTGAATCAAACTGCTTCCCCTATACTCACGCAAAATAATTTCGGTGTTTAATGTTTTTTTTTCACTTCCTACGCAAACCGTAACGGTCATCCTAAAATCTCCATACTGTTTGAAAGTCAGTCAATTTTATTCATCAAATCTCCCTAATTTACCTCAATATTGCTTGCAGTACGTCTTTTCAATTTGATCCGTAAAGCAAAATCGAAATAACGGTTCTGCCTCCTTGACCGGTTTTTGGCCCATTCGTGACCGCGTCCAGCCTGGTTGATGACCTTGTTTCAAGCATGTCATCCATTGCTCTTTTTCGATATGTTCAGCGCCTTCTGTTTTTGTTTTCTCAATATCAGTTCTTACCAATAGCCAGTCTTGCCTATCGGCCTTTTGTGTAAATTTCTAGACTCCCGTTTGTCGCTGGTAGTTGATGAAATCCACCGGCATTGCTCTCGGTACTTAGCTTATCTTGCTTTGTTGCTAGCGCGTCCCCCCCCCTCAACTGCACCATAGCTGTTTCGCTATGCTGGTGCATTCGTATCTCCGAGACCCAAAAGTAGTCGTATTCTGGAAGGCCAAAGTCAAAATATCAGTTTCGTCCCTGCTGCTATATTTACTTCGGCCCTTTCAGAATCTGACTGGATTCTCGGGGATACTGATGTACATCCGTATCATTGAGGTACCTGATCCCACTAGTGTAATCCCTATTTGGATCCAATGATAGTTACTCACTAGGAATTTTTTTCTCTCAACTGTTGGAATTCTGTTTCCTTTCATTTGCTATACTTAACGTTAAGTCTATCATCAAGGTTTTTCATTGGCTTCAAAAAACAGACCTGTCGGATGTGATAAAACTGTCTGAGATAAGTCATCAGTTGCCATAATGACAACTAATAATCGACTAAGCGTATCGAATCGCGATGCGTTGGCTGTTGCCGTCGACAGATTCGGACTGCGTGGGCCTCATTTATCATCAGTAATCCTGATACTATCGTCTATCGGTTTTTTGTGGTGATCACAAAACGTCACTCATGTCTTCTAGCTTACGGAATGGTATTTTCTTACGAAGCCCCAACTCGAGACACTACCTCCCTTTTCATCTGTCGTTTATAAGGTCAACCCAACGCCTGTTTGAATACATCCAAGCCATTGTTACCCTCACTTGAGCGGAATTCAACTACGCTTGTCTCACCAGGCCTGGTTGAACTAATTACCGCAATATCTATCCACTTCCTGTTCAGTGCTTTTTTATGTTTCCCTGTGCAATTCAAGCAATCAGTGACTCCACACAGATAAGGCTTGTTTCCGTGGCGGTATGCGGCAGATTGTAATGAACCCTGAAGAATAAACCAGGATTTCAGCAGAATAATCTTGATGCGCACGAACTTGGAGGAAGTGAAATTTTCAGTGGCGTTGAAATAAAGACGAGGCATTTCGTCTCGTTCGGTGGGTATCAATCAAGTGTACTGCGCAATTCCATTGGGTGCTACATGGGTCATTTATTAACCGTGGTTCCATGTACATCTTGAATACAATTGTGTCCAATAGTTCTGTGACGATACGTGTTCAACGCGTGCATCAATTGTCAACCACGTAGTTGGGTCTGCTTCATATCAATTTCTCTGATTCATTGGCTTGCGCATGCACAAACGCAACGAGTTAACCAACTAACAGATCATCTTCCTTGAATTTCTCACTTCTTTTCTGTTCAGTCACTCAGTATAAGCACTACTCTTTCCAAAATATTCCTGGACCACTGTTGGTTGTTTTGTGATCTTCATTGCATGATCTGATCTCATTTACGTATTGGAATAATGTTTTCAGAGCATGCCAAACAGAATTACACGACCCTCACGCCAGTCGAGTGGGAGTGTTCTGGTAGGTTGATTCCCGCTTTTCGTTATTGCATCTCCTCCAAATTGGGGTGCCCGTGTAGCTCGTCTGATGTTCTATGGCGCAGCACACCGACAGTTGGTGAACCGCTCGACACTCCAATGTGGTCGACAGTTCTAGTCAAGTTAAATGGTGAATCTACCTCGACAAACAGTGATTTTAAGGTTAGCATTATTTTATTTTTTTTCTACTGATGTACGCAGTTGGCCTAAATTTTGGTTTTGGAATCGATCAGTGTGAGATTGCTTGTTTTTGGTTTGTCGTGTTACGACATATTTCCGAGGAACTCCTCAAGATGGCCTCATCGTGACTTCTTCATTTTATTTTCACCGGATCAGTGTTGGGGGTTGTTTCATCACTCAATCGCCCAGGTGAGATTAGGGGGTTGTCTTGAGAGAGCTCACCTCGATTCGATCGATGTGCTGCCGGTCCGACTACATATACTCTCACCGTACTTGACTCCTACGTCCTGGTTACGCAGTACACAGTAGTGAATCAACGGACCAAGAGCCGTATATTCAGTTCGCGTATACTCTTCGTTATGAGTGGTTTTGAATAA